GTTCCGCCTGTTTCGGAAGCCAGAGTGCCACAATTCCAAGGGGGTTTTTCCCCCTCCATCCGCTGGCTGTGCCATAACAAGGGATAGTTAAAACGATACGGTTGAAGATTGAATTCAACTTGTTTCTAGTTCGCATAAATAAGACTCTGAACTAGAGGTCAACACATAGCAGACTAGACAGACCTAGACTGATTGACAGGCAGGAACCAAATGCACCTTTAGTCATAATATGAGAACTCTCACATGACACATATGCTCTAACATAACACAGCACTGAACAACGTATTGTTGTACGCATGGCTAGATCCTTGCATACACAAGAAAATTAAAAAGGCAAAAAAAACTGTTGTATTTTAATCCGAAAACGGCAAAGAAAAATTATGAACGAAAACCAGCGCATTGAAAAAATTTAAACTGATTTTCATCTGAAACGTAAATTTTTACAAGGAACCTGTTAACTAATTTCTTCTTTTAAACTGATTCTCTTTGGTTGATTTTTTACTTACAAATGCTAATTTTCAGCTTAACCCCAAGTTTTAAGTTTTTGAGAAATATTTTTTATCAGCATCTTTAAAAATAGGTCACTCCAGGCTGGCTTTAAGAAATAACAAAAATGTAAGCGTTATCTATAAATGTATGATTTAAAAGTACAACCAATGTTTTATTTAAAAACAAAGCTAAATACTGAGACTTAATTTTGATCTTTAAGTTAATGCACTACACATTTCTTTGCACTTAATTTGTCAAACGAAATGTCTGTCAAATCAAGTACTTTTCGATCACTCCATCAGTAATCACTTTTATTGATCTATAGCTATCAATTTTTTTTGAAATTGATGCTCGTTTTGCACTGTTTTGTTATTCAAGAACACATTACTACATCTATTTGGTACCAACAATCAGGATATATTATGCTTTGGAAATGAGCCCAAAAGTTTACATCAAAAACCGAATCAAATAAAATTATTTAAAAACAGTACAAACCCAATATTTTTGAAAATGGAAATAATATTTTTCCTGTTCTAATAAAGTATCAACAAAACTGCTCGTATCAGGGCAAAGCCCTGAATGTTCCGACTGCGTTTTAAGGTTTATGGAGCAGTAATAACATAAAAAAATTTAAAGAATTAAAACAAAATCAAAAGAAAATTTTTTTCTAAATTTTGAAATTTTTAAAAGAAAATCATCCCCCCACACGCCATACAAAGTACAAAAGGATAGATTTCGTTCCTTGCAACAAACCAATTATGGCACAGAAGCTTCTTTTAACCAATTTAGAACAAATTCTAAGACGGATTAACTCTCCGCTTACGCGTTAGTAGCGCGAAATATATCGCGCGTTAATTGTCCCAAATTGGCCAAAATGGCAATCTTTAAACCCCCGTAACTCTACGAAAAAGGATCACAGGTGAAATATTTTTTCAAATTTGAGCTCAGGACAACAATACCTTCCGAATGATATTTAAAAAAATCTGTCAAAAACGGCTAGTTAAAACCTCAAAAATTGTCTGAAGAAAAAAAAACCCACCCCGAGCACAAATATTCCGTTACTTTCGTATCGAAAATCGGAACAAAAAAGATAGGAACATTGGCTAATAGAGAAGTTTCATTATAATCAAGTTTTCCTAAGAACTTTGGCCTAGAATATTGGGTAGCATTTTTTCGATGCTTTCGTGGAGCCTTGTGTTACCAATTGTTCCGACTTCGAAACGCCACAAGCCACTTTCGAAACGCTGTGATTCGAGCTGCGATAAAACATTTCTCCAATTTTTCAGTGACGATTTTTTTCTTAGACTATTTTGAGTGGCGATATTGATCGATTAGCAATTCAGACAAGACTGCTCGTATCAGGGCGAAGACCTGAATGTTCCGACTGCCCATTAAGGTTTATGGAGCAGTAATATCATTAAAAATTAAAAGTAATAAAAACAAAATGAAATTTTTTTCTTCAAAAATTTGAAATTTTTTAAATAAAAATCATCCCCCCACACGCCATATAAAGTAAAAAAAAGGATAGATTTCGCTACTTGTAACAAATCAATTATGGAAAATAAGCTTCGTTAAACCAATTTGGAACGATTTCTTAGACTTCCTTTCTTTCTTACCACTTTCTCAAAATGGCTCATGCTGTGCATTAATAACAATTGAATAGGTCATGTAGACTCGGAGTGAAGCCATGATATAATGTAAGATATCAATTCAGTCACGAAAAGACCATTTGGTGGCCGAAAAATTTTCTCCGTATCTTTTGAAATTGTTTAATAGAAAACTAAGTTTCAAAAGATCTTGAATTCGAACATTTTCTATTTTGAACAGCTTATAGACAAGCCTATATTGATGGAGGAAAGTTGTCAATTCAAATGATTGAGGAGGTTTATCAGTTTAAGAAATTCTTTAAAATAAAATACAACATAATCATTTTCTTTCAAGGTAATTAGAGAAATGACCATTTAGGAACAAACAATTTTTTTTCAATTAGTCAAAGAATTTTTAAAAAAGAGAAAATCTCAAGCATCATTTTAGCTGAGACCTAAATTTTTGATTAATATGTGTTTTCGAATCAATTATAACTCAATTTGCAAAATAATTAGTTACATAACATTCACAACTTTACTGAAGGCCTAATAAAAAGCAACAGCGTCTCTGTATTACTCTGAGGAACTCTTATGTGAGATTAATAACAAATTGATCTAAATTTTAATTCAGGTTCTCAGAACGTCTGTTTTGTTCTCATAGTTACTGAGCTGCTGAGTCTTGCTCTAACATAACACAACACTGAACAACGTATTTTTTGTACGCATGGCTAGATCCTTGCATACACAAGAAAATTAAAAAGGCAAAAATAAACTTGTTATATTTTAATCCGAAAACGGCAAAGAAAAATTAGGAACGAAAACCAGCGCATTGAAAAAATTTAAATTGATTTTCATCTGAAACGTAAATTTTCACAAGGAACCTGTTAACTAATTTCTTCTTTTAAACTGATTCTCTTTGGTTGACTTTTTACTTACAAATGCTAATTTTCAGCTTAACCCCAAGTTTTAAGTTTTTGAGAAATATTTTTTATCAGCATCTTTAAAAATAGATTACTCCAGGCTGGCTTTAAGAAATGTTAGATTTAAATATAACAAAAATGTAAGCGTTATCTATAAATGTATGAAAAATGTTTTATTTAGAAACAAAGCTAAATACTGAGACTAAATTTTGATCTTTAAGTTGAGTTGGGACTGATAGTCTAACTCATAGAGTAATTTCAGATAAGGTACACCGTCTGCTCGTCACGCTATCTTATTTTCGGCCGGATAGATTCGTGCAACTTCTTAGTCTAATACCAATCTTAATCTTACTCTTATATCTCTTAGTCTCATTAGATCTAGATTATACTGGTTTGTTACGAGTTGGTCTCTTGGAAAAGGCAACTAAGCTGTAAGTTAAATTCAGAATGCTCTGGTGCTGAAACTACAAGTAGTTTCAGCCTTTACAAATAAGTCGTTAGTTAGATGGAGTATGATTGGTTAGTATTCAATATTTTATAGGGATAAAATATCTAATTTATAACCAATACGTAATTTATATCACGTTCCAAAGTTAATCCACTACACATTTCTTTGCACTTAATTTGTCAAACGAAATGTATGTCAAATCAAATACTTTTCGATCACTCCATCAGTAATCACTTTTATTGATCTATAGCTATCAAAATTTTTTGAAATTGCTGTACGTTTTGAACTGTTTTGTTGTTCAAGAACACATTACGACACCTATTTGGTACCAACAATCAGGATATATTATGCTTTGGAAATGAGCCCAAAAATTTATATCAAGAACCGAATCAAACAAAATTATTTAAAAACAGTACAAACCCAATATTTTTGAAAATTGAAATCAATATTTTTCCTGTGCTAATAAAGTATCAATAAATATTGTTTGCTGTAGTTGAGATATATAAAAAACCAAATTGCGGGAAAAATTTAAAATGTTCACAAAACATTTTATTCTAAAAGTTTTCTAGACTATTACATTTAAGTGAGCTTATCAGCTGAGTACCTATGAGTTATTGATAGAGAAAAAACTCCAAACTAAAGCCCCTAAACGGCAACTGGTTCTTATGAAATTATAAGCACCGCAAACCGAAGTGTTCTATTAAGCTTCTAACAAAATTTGAAAAGTTGAAAAAAAGTTTTTGCGGCCAGATAAAAAGTTGCTACCGAATCAGCGAAAAATGTATAATTTTCAAACCAGCGTATTGTTTTGTTAGTAGTTTAGTATGAGCTATTTAAAAATTTTTAAGGCAGTTAGCTGATTCAAGATAATCAAAAACAAAATTTTCTTTCTAAATCACCATTAAAAATTTTGTTTATAGAACTTCACCTGAATAAAGATTTTATCAAAAAATTTCCCAAATGATTCAGAAAGATCGGAATTTAAGTAAGATTAAATTATTTTACTAGGTCAAAAAAACAAAGAAAAATTGAACAAACAGGTCATAAACTGATCATGAAAATGGAGAACTTTTTATTCCGATCACTGAAAAGGGAGAAGAACTAAGGTATTAAGATGTGTTATAGATTTTTATGTTACCCAACCAATTTAACTGACGCTTATTTGACTTCAGCAGAACTGGCCCAAAGTTTTACTTGTTCGAAGTTTTGCGCCGAGGGGAGGGGGGGGGGGGGGGTGGGGTTGAACTGAAGTTTTGCTTTACTGAGTGTAAGTTCTATTGACATGCGAATTAGACAAACCCTGTTCGAGTCCTCTCCTTGCTCTATTTGGCGTTACGTCGATAAAAAAATGAACTCACTGTACACTTTCAAAGTTTTCAATTCAAAATAGTTTAAACTCAAATTTTAGCAAAAGCACCAGGTTGTTCACAAAAATTACAATAAACAGACACTGAATATTGTGCAGTATTACAAATAAAGTAAGTACAAACATGCTAACCGAATTTCACAGTATTCTGGTTTTTGAGAACTATTTTTAAAAAATTTTCCGTGAAAAAGTTAGACGACAAAATTAAAAAACGATGAACATTTTTTTTCTGAAATTATTTTTAGTTCTTCACGATCTAAACAAACAATGATTGGAATATCTTTTTTGGCACAAAAATGTTAACTTATATCAACAAAAAGACTAGCTAATTAAATATTTTAGGTCATTTGAACTGAAATTGCGAAAAGAAATCAGAGACCTAAAACACAAAATCAAAGGAAGCGGTCAAGATGACTCCAATGATTCTTAATTATTTAAATTAATCATCGCTATAAGTTATAGTCTTCCTCGTCCGGTGGCTGATAATGTGACTGTGCCCTGTGGTCATCTGGGTGGAGAATCCAGTCGAAGCTGTACCCGACTAGATGGAAAAAGTTGAGACTCTTGGGACAGAGAGTGGAGAGGGTGGCCTCGAAGGACTTCTTGGATGGCAGAGTGTACTTTGGATCCTCCGAGTTGGCGTTGCTTTTTACATGATGCACATCTCTACAACAGAGAGTTAAAGATAGGAACATTGGCTAATAGAGAAGTTTTATTATAATCATTTTGGCCTAAAATATTGGGTAGCCTTTTTTCGATGCTTTTTAAATAAACGGATGTCGAAAAACATTCTAAACGTCAAAAGATTTTCATGCAAAAGTAGTTCGCGGAGTCTTGTGTTACCAATTGTTCCGACTTCGAAACGCCACAAGCCACTTTCGAAACGCTGTGATTCGAGCTGCGATAAAACATTTCTCCAATTTTTCCAGTGACGATTTTTTTCTTAGACTATTTTGAGTGGCGATATTGATCGATTAGCAATTCAGATAAAGAAATTAAAAAACCTTGCTATTGCTAGCTAATTTTAAAATTTGAAATTTGCAAACTCTGTACAACCCTTCCCTCATTAGGAAAACTCCTCAGTAATAAGGCAGCCGACTATACTCATTGAAAAAATTCGCAAACACTCGCAAAACAAAACCAATCATCAAAAAAGCTCTGAATTCTGATTAAAAGACACAAAACCTGGAAAAAGACACATAGCCTTTTGAACAAACAAGTTTAAAAAGCACCTACTTTATTACTGGAAAATCAAAAGTTTTTTTGTTCCGACTTTCGATACAAAAGTAACGGAATAATTGTGCTCGGGGTGGGTTTTTTTTCTTCAGACAAATTTCGACTTTTTAACTAGCCATTTTTGACGGAATTTTTTTTTATCTTTCAAAAGGTATTGTTGTCCTGAGCTTAAATTTGAAAAGATATTTCACCTGTGATCATTTTTCGTAAAGTTATGAGGGTTTAGAGATTGCCCTTTTGACCAATTTGGGACAATTAACGCGCGATATTATTCGCGCTATTAACGCGTAAGCGGAGGTTTAATCCGTCTTATAAATCGATCCAAATTGGTTGAACGAAGCTTATTTGTCATAATTGATTTGATACAAGGAACGAAAACTATCTTTTTGTACTTAATATGGCGTGTGGGGGGATGATTTTTATAAAAAAAATTCAAATACGAAAGTAACGGAATATTTGTGCTCGGGGTGGGTTTTTTTTTCTTCAGACCAATTTCGACTTTTTAACTAGACATTTTTGACGGAATTTTTTTAATATCATTCGAAAGGTATTGTTGTCCTGAGCTTAAATTTGAAACGATATTTCACCTGTGATCATTTTTCGTAAAGTTATGAGGGTTTAAAAATTACCATTTTGGCTAATTTGGGACAATTAACGCGCGATATATTTCGCGCTATTAACGCGTGAGCGGAGATTTAATCCGTCTTAGAAATCGTTCCAAATTGGTTGAAAGAAGCTTATTTGCCATAATTGATTTGTTACAAGGAGCGAAATCTATTCTTTTGTAGTTTAAATGGCGTGTGGGGGGATGATTTTCATGGAAAAATATTTCAAATTTTAGAATTTTTTTTTTTCATTTTTTAAACATTTTATTTGTTAATGATATTTATGTTATTACTGCTCCATAAATTTTAAAAGGCACTCGGAACATTCAGGGCTTCGCCCTGATACGACTAGTCTTGTTTTATTTCATTTAATTTTTTTAAATGTTATTACTGCTGCTCCATAAACCTTAAAAGGCAGTCGGAACATTCAGGGCTTCGCGCTGATACGAGCAGTCTTGTTTCATTTTAAAATTAAGAAAATTATCGGAACTTTAACACAGTGTTTTATTGAATTTCCTGTTGCTTTTAAGAAAAAAGTGATTGAATAAAAAATAAATTGACGGTTCAGTCTTTCATCTAAAGTCGTAAAATTAAGTCTGAAAACCGGAAACGTGGCGAACAATTTTTTATCGACAATGACATTTTTAAGAATCCAAATCACACTCAAAAAAGATCACACTTTAACCCCTATAAGCTTTGTTTGAGGTGGTCATAATAAGTCGAAAAAACCAACCTAGGCCATAGTTTCTTCCAGCCAGTCGGAACCATAGCTGATTGATTTTGTTAAATTACTTGTGGATATTTACGAGAGCTCAAAAATTTTGATTCAGAAACTTGAAACAAGAAGTTTTGCGATCATTACACATTACTTCTCGTGGAGCCCATAAATTTAAACCAGGAAATTAATTAAGCACCCTTCCGCCCCGAAAGATCAAAAATGCTAATATAAAACTGGTCAACTATTGAGACTTTGATATGAAAACGTTTAGAAAAACACAACCGCCAGACAGCTGGAAAAGTTTTAATAAACTAAGGTTAGACAGAGATTCAATCACTAATTTTGTTTGAACTTAACTCAACTTTTGAATTTCAGAGAAAAGATTAAAATAACCGTAAATTATTTCAAATTCAAGAGACTTGTCTGATTGACGTTTTATTTTTAAAAACTAATCCATTTTGTTAAAATACGATCAATTTTCTTTTCCACTGGGATTGCAAAAAGTCATTTTTCACTCTAAAAATGACAGGCAGTTTTTTTTCCTTCATTTAATTTCTGTTATTGGAAAGGCGAAAGAGTAATAAGAATTTCGCGTTGAAATGATTCTGAAAAACGAGCTACCGCAGAAATCAAGAATCAAACAGATAAAATAAACAAATTGGCAGGAAGAAATTAAGTCTTTTTTTAAAAAAAATTGCATACGACAAAGTCTATAAAAATTGGACTCTAGATCTCTGAGGGATATCTTTCATCAATAGTAGAGGGAAATTTTGCCGAGAAAAAATGTCACTCAACTAAAAACTGAGCGACTTACTTCACTAAAACTATGACCACTAAATGTTTAAAAATTCAACTGAAGAAAAAACATATTACGAGAAGCTTTTTCAACTGAAGAAAAAAGTTTCTCGTAATATTTTAAAGCTTTTTTTGTTTCTCGTGGGGGTCCTTCGTTTTTCTCTCACCTGTTGGGCACGTTGTAGTGGTTCTGCACCTGAGTCATGATATGCTGCACAAACTTCTCCTCCATAAGAAACTCACTCTGCACAATCAGGACATTCTGGGGTGGCACCAACTGCAGAAAGTTACCCAAGATGGTCCTGTAGTCGGACAGAGTCAAGCTACGAAGTGGCAGTGTCTGTCGGTCCTTGTTCGACATCGCCCTCGTCTTGCCCGAGCCCCGAATGAGGTGGTCGTTGTGGTCTGAGATTGCCCTGAGGAGTGGATCTCTCACTAGCATCACGAACTTGGCATCCGGATCCGAACACATTATCTTCCTCGCGCTCATTGGCTAAACAAAGCAAAAGTTTTCAATGTTGGCTGAAAATTTTGTTTAAGTTTTTGGCACGATTCTTTAACCTAGTCGACAAGAACTGAAGTATAAGTTTTTTTCAGGTTAAACTGGTGTTTATTTTCTATTATGTCACCATAACCTAACTTATGCTATTATAACCGCAGTAAAAAAAATATGGCGTCACCCCATCGATAATCTGAGAAACTAAACAAAAAGTATTTTGCGTGTACTTTTCAGTAAATAATTCCTATACACAAAAGTAAGTAATCAGCAAGACAATCATGCTAACCGTGCAAGAAAATATTGAACTACTGCTGTAGAAGTCTGACTCTCAAGGGTCTAAAACTTCAGTTCAGAGCAGGAAAGAAAGTCTGAATGTCAATTTGATGAAACTTTTATTATACGGTTCAGAAAAAAAGTTTTTAAGAATCTACAGATGGGTCTGAAAAGGTTTTCCACAACTGACAATAATTCGATATAAATTTTATGCTAGGCGCTGACTAAAGAATGGGTTTCTCAAAAATCCATCAAATACTTATGATATGCAGTTGGACTATTAGCGGCATAACACCGGGTTTTCAGACAACACTAGCCAAGTAATTTTACGTGCCTGCTGATGATAGTCTGAAAAACTTTAGGAGTTAGATAAAAATCCAAATTTGAAAATAAAAACAATGGAAGAAGCCCAATCTGTGTCTCAATTCAAGAAAATTAATTATTTGTATGGTGTAAGAATCTGCGTGCAGATGCCATTCAAGTAAAAAAATTAACATAGTGGTTGTATTTTACAAGCGTAGCACCGCTTCAATTACTGGAAGCTAAATCCCGAACTAAAAATTGCTATTCAGCGTTCATTGAAAAATTTCAGAACATGAGACTTGTTGAAATACTACAGCTAGAAAAATTCAAAAACTGAGGATCGTGGATGCTATCTACCACAACAATCAGTCTTCAGGAAAATTCGCCTGCTACAAAACTTCAAATATCTGCTGCAACTTCTGCTAAAATCTACCAAAATTTCTTCTGGACAATCTTCTTCAGCATTTCAGCAGTTTTGAGTCCACGATGCGACTGAGATATTGAAGTTAGTCAAAATGCCCAGGATAATTGGTTTGATCTCACTCGGACATTTCCTAAATTACGAAAACGGCAGACACAGCGACCTATAAAAACTAGTTCGTTCAATCACAGAAGTTCCGCTTCATATCTATGGGGATGCTTTTGAAAAAGCACACGCAGCAGCAATATACGCTAGAATAACAGTTGTCAACAACAAAGCCGCTGCGTATCCACTGACGTCAAAAACACAAGTGACTCCTATCAAAGCTATTTCAGTTCCCAAGCATCAATTTTGTGGTACCAGCTGTGAGTGATCGAAACAGCCTCCTCACATTTTAATTTTCGGAAAACTTTTAAAAGCAGCTGTCAAATGTATTTGAAATTAATTTTTAAAAATAATCGACACAAAAATCTCAGCTACGAGGATTTGATTCCAAGACCGAACCAAATTGATGCTGTTTCAACTTCCTGCCCAGAAGACGACAACAGCACTGAAGCAAAAGCTCTCGACCTGCGATATCTGGATCACATTCCTGCAATGAAAACTACATCAAAAAGACCTTGTACAGTTCTAAGTCCACTTAGCGAAGACGAGAGCGTTACAAAACTGCCACTTCCTCTGCTGTAACTTACTGTCACTTCCTCTGCAAAAGTGGACACCAATAATCCCAAAAGAACTGAAGGGCTACTAAAAGATATGGGGAAAGAAAAATCGGTTATGCTGGAAACGTTTGCGGACAGAATCAAATAAGAGCCTTGGGAGTCAGTTGGAAGCCAAACAAACCTATAATTTGAACTGCTCTATCCTAATTCAGGTACTCACAAATAGACTTGGCTGTCAACTATCTTGAAACTACTCAATCCAACGGGTTGGCTAGCTCCGTTTTTCAATAATTTCAAGCGCCTCATTCAACAATTTTGGGTCAATGATGCGACTGAGATATTGAAGTTAGTCAAAATGCCCAGGATAATTGGTTTGATCTCACTCGGACATTTCCTAAATTACGAAAACTGCAAAAACGAGTTCGAAAACTGCAAAAACAACCTATAAAAACAAGTTCGTTCAATCAAAGAAGTTCCGCTTCATATCTATGGGGATGCTTCTGAAAAAGCACACGCAGCAGCAATATACGCTAGAATAACAGTTGTCAACAACAAAGCCGCTGCGTATCAACTGACGTCAAAAACACAAGTGACTCCTGTAAAAACTATTTCAGTTCCCAAGCATCAATTTTGCGGTGCCAGCTTAGCTTCCAAGCTTCTAAAAGCAGTTCAAGAAAATTCAGGAAAAAATGAACCCCGCATAATCTTTCAAGAATGTTTTGAGCCTAATCGCTTGCACAGTTTAAGAACGCGGAAAGCCTGAGTCGCAAATCATGGTTCACAATTGCAAGTCAATTCACCTGGCAGTGTATGGAAACATGCCCCTACTACATCAATCATGTCGGCTTAGCTTCTAGCGGTGAATTAGCTGTTATGTTGAGATCATCTTCATTGTAAATTGGAAATCTATTGGAAATCTAGAAAAAAGATCCAATTAACAGCCATCTCCCGCTGAATTACCGCAAAGTCGAACATGCAACAAAAAATAACAAAGCAAGCAAGTTTATTAAATTTGCTCTAATCATACTCATGGAAAACAGTCTTTGAAAGTAATTTAAACCTAAAAAACTAAATTTTGTGGACTCGCACAACTCACACTGCTTGCTGTAGTTTTTTTAACGGTTGAAATAAAAGACAAGTAATCCGAAAAAAAACACCCAAAAAATCATTTCAGTCAGAAAATAGGATCATTGCCAAGATGTAATCTACTTTGTTTGGAACCAAAAATAAATCAATCTTGAACAAAAGCAGCTCGCTACAAAAAATTAGTTAAATAGTACAACTAAGCTCTTTAAAAGAACGCCTTCTACGACCCAGATTAAAATTGAGTAAGAGTTCGCGGTAGAAATTCATAATCAGATTATGCACTTGACAAAAAATTCCCGTCTCGATGAGATCAGAGTTAGTCCTACTCGTCATTGGACAATATTATGAAGATATTCTTCATGGTAGGGCTATTTGGTACTCAACTCTATGCGCGAGGAAATCGAGATAATCGGAGATCGAGAACTTGTCCGACCGTTCGTCATAACGATATAACCTGTATAAAAAGCGTGCAATTCAAGTTGAAAAATAAAATCCGCGAACCGTGTAACCAATCTGGAATAGACTTTTCACGTCTTTTCGAAGTAAGCAAATTTAAAGCTGTTTTTGTTTGTCTCAGACCATTCATTTTGTGGTAGTTTCTCGCCAGACAAAATAGACGTGTATTCACATCTCGCGGCGGTTCACAGCAAACCATGTAAAGTTGGCGAGAACAGAAAGAGATAACGTCACTAATTTCACAGGAGCTCTAGCTCTTAATGATGTTATCAAAACCAAAAAGTTGTTGACAAAATTGAAACAGGCAATCAATTTTTGACATTCAAGAAAGTGAGTGATCGAAACAGCCTCCTCACGTTTTAAAACTTTTAAAAGCAGCCGTGAAATGTATTTGTACTTAATTTTTAAAAATAATCGACAAAAAAATCTCAGCTACGAGGATTTTATTTCAAGACCGAACCAAATTGATGCTGTTTCAACTTCCTGCCCAGAAGGCGACAACAGCACTGAAGCAAAAGTTCCCGACCTGCGATATCTGGATCACATTGCTGCAATGAAAACTACATCAAAAAGACCTTCTACAGTTCTAAGTCCACTTAGTGAAGACGAGAGCGTTACAAAACTGCTAAATTTAATAAGCTCAGCAGTAAAAAAAAGCAATCAGCAAGGCAGTTCTTACTATAGTAGTGCAAGTGATAGTTAAAATGCAATCAGCGATTTCAGAAGTTGTCAGAAGTACCGTGAATGAGCTGAAAGACGAAGTTTATGCTAAAATGGTGCAAGATCTTGAATTCAGCGAAAGCAAAAATGACCTGATGACAAAGTGTCAGGAGAAAAGCTGGAAACATATATCAGAAGGTGTGACATCAAAACTTTTGGGATAAAACAGGATAGTAAAGCCAATGAGCACGGAAAGACAATCAATGAGAAATCAGAGGAAACTTTACGAAAGGTGCTAAATCTCTCAAAAACAGTTGTCTGCATAGATTAAAAATATATCTCCATTGCAAACCGCCTACCAACTAGAAGTGGAGCAATTAAACCTATAACTGTTAAGTTTGCACGAAGGGTTGCAAAAATTGAACTCAAACGGAAAAAGAGAGAACTAGCGAAGTCAATGGACACGAAAGAAATTAATATACTTGAAGACCTGAGCCCAGCAATTATACTATCTCTTAAGGTCTACTCTCGATAACCTATGTCTAACTGAAACATGGCTTATAGGAAGTGGCATAAGTGAAACCTGCTTAATGAGTTTTTGTAAATAAATCTATACAAATAGTGAAGCTCTCATAGTGGCGGTGTCATGATACAAACAAGAAGTACTTGCTTTTTGGTGAAACAGTTCAAATTCCATTTGAAGAAGATATACTAGCTGAAATATCGGAAATTTAAGTCAAGTTTTCGGTTCGTGTTGCATACATTAAACCTAAAACAACCAAAATGTCATTCGTAGAAAAACTGGATCAATTCTTAGTTGAGAAAAAAATTTTAAGTAGGCCTCTCATTGTGTGTGGCGATTTCAATATAGATACCATGCAGAACCGGCTTGTTCAGAATTATATAAACATAACAACTTCAAATGGTTCTGATATCATTTCAAACCAAGCAACTCGCGTTATCGAAAATACGCAAACTTGTCTTGATCATTTCAAATATCAAAAAAAGCCTTTCCTTGTTTCAAAGCTACTCAATTTTGAAAAAAAAAAAGATCTGACCATTATCCGATAACTTTAGAATGGGACATTAAACATAAAAGTTTCAAGGATGAAACTCCTTTTCGGGATAAATGGTTTCTAAGGTCACTGCAAAAGGTATCTAATTTTTTGGAAAAATTGGATGGTACTTTCGAAAACAACAAAATAAAATCTTTTGATACTCAGGACCCAGCTGATGCTTTTGAAAAATTTTAGAGTTTTTTTGTTGATGTTCTGGATAATTTTGATCCTTTTAAGTGGTCGAAAAATCAATTAAGAATGCGTCCAACAATCTACGAAGTAAGAGAAATGGCGCGCACAAAAAATTAATTGCAGTCAAAACCAAGCAAGAAATTTTTCGGGATAAATTCGAAAGTTTAAGAGTGCAATTCGAAAAAGAAGTGAAGCAACCCAAAAAAATTTTATTGGAACAAATTCAAAAATTGTATTGGAGACTCAAGAAAAACTTATAAAATTCTAAATGATATTAGTGGGAAAAACCTTAAAACTAAAAAAATTCCCCCAATGCAATCGTGCCCTAATCTTTGCGATAATCTGTTGGACCTATATCTCTTTTAATTGTTTGTAGTAAAATTTAATAAATTTTTCAAATCTATAGGGGAAACACTCAAAAACGACCCTCCTACAATTGAGAGACCGAACATTGTGAGCGTTCCTTTTGCAATGAACCTCTTTAAAACAAATACAGGGGAAGTTTTAAGATGCGAAAAATTTTAATAAATTTTTCAAAACCACAGGGAAAACACTCAAAAACGACCTTCCTACAATTGAGAGACCGAACATTGTGAGCGTTTCGTTTTCAATGAACCTCTTTAAAACAAATACAGAGGAAGTTTTAAGATGCGAAAAAATTTAATAAATTTTTCAAAACCATAGGGAAAACACTCAAAAACGACCTTCCTACAATTGAGAGACCGAACCTTGTGAGCGTTCCTTTTTCAATGAACCTCTTTAAAACAAATACAGAGGAAGTTTTAAGATGCGAAAAAATTTAATAAATTTTTCAAAACCATAGGGAAAACACTCAAAAACGACCTTCCTACAAATGAGAGACCGAACATTGTGAGCGTTCCTTTTTCAATGAACCTCTTTAAAACAAATACAGAGGAAGTTTTAAAAATAGGAAACAGCTTAGATAATAAATATTCTTCAGGTGACGATTACATTAGTAATATAATAGTAAAAAAATTGTCTGAAGTTGTGGCTCCTTTTTTAGCGTTCATAACCAACCTTTTATTTTCGAAAAGTTTGTTTCCCAGAAATCTTTGCAATGCGAAGGTTTTTCCTTTGCATAAGGAAGGATCGAGAACAGATGAAAATAATTACCGACCTATATCTCTTTTAATTGTTTGCAGTAAAATCGTAAAATCTATGAACGAGCAATGTACAACCGTGCATATTCTCACCTTGAAAAATTCTCCCTGTTCTATCCTTATTAATATGGTTTTCGTAGTAAACATAGTACAATTGATGCACTGGCAGAATTATAAAAATTATTTATATTAATGATCTTCGTTTGTGTTGTAGGTCGGCAGAAGTACTTTTTTTGCAAAGGATACAAGTTTAACAGCTATGGAATGCCATGTCAAAATGCTAAGTCTGACCAAGATGTTTTAAATCAATGGTTAACAGCAAATCAGTTAGTAACCAATATATCTAAACAGTGCAAATGAACGTTAAATCAAGTGCTTCCAATTATGATTTCAATTTGTATTAATTTCAAATAATAGTCAAACCCGCATGCAAGTATTGCAAACTCTCATTTGTCAGTCACATAGATTTCTTTAAACTGAGACTTGGAAAACAACGTGGTTTAATGTCAAAACTAAGACATTTTGTACCAAGGGGCCAACTACTGGACTACTACCGCAGTTATGTAGTCCCTATTCTTCAGAATAGCCTTTTGATTTACGGGTTGTGTAGTTTTTCTGTTTAAACCCAATTTTCGTAATACAAAAGAACATTTTAAATTTTTTTTTTCGGAAAACGGCAAGATCAGTGTGAAAATATTTTCCAGAAAAATATAATGCTGACAGTTTATGAGTACCATATCTAGAAGCTTTTGAGTTTCGTTCTAAAATCTGTAAACAAAATGCACTGTTTGTCTTTTTTAACGAAATGTTTAGTTTTCAAAATTCTCAAAAAGTAACGAGGAGATCTTGTGTAAGATTACTTGTGGAATCTTTTTGCAAACGTGAAAATTAAAGATTCTCGATACGTTATAGAGGATGAAAATTGTACATTAATTTAAAAACCTGAGACTCACTTCCTGTTGAAATTGAAAATGGTTATTTTGATGAAATATCAAGATTTAACCACAAATTCAAAGATTCTTTTTAAAATCAAGATTTTGCTTTGGTTAAAAAAATTATGAATTTTATAAAAAATAAAAAGTTCGGATCTATTGGTTAAACGCTGCTAGGCAATCCCCGGCAAGTCAGATTTTTTGTGGGAAAAAATGACTGTCCAAAACCTTCTAGTTTTTGAGATATCGCATTTTTCAGAACTTTTTTGAAATTTTCTCATTAAATCTGAAAAAAAAAGAAAAAAATTTCTTTTGAAAATGATTATTGTACAAACTAAACGCTTAAATATGGAAAAGGTGCATGTAGTTTTTTGGAATCCTTTAGATCCTGTTACAATTACTCGAAGCTTTTCGAAAATAAAAATAAATAAATGCGTTTGTTCAGTAAACAGGTTCTTCACTCTGTTTCTAATTCATTAATACTGACTGATGTAGCATTATAGATCTGACAAAACTTGAAACTGGCTCTGCTGGCTTTTGGAAGTATGTTTGCTTGATGAAAATAAAAACTTTTTGGAAAAGACACGTTTTTGTTCAATAATATTTTCAAATCTGTTCTTTGAAAAATTTTATGACTTTTTAACGCAGACGCTTGGTGGATCCCGTTGTCTGTCCTCTCCAAATCTCAATATCTGATGCTATATAACCTTACTGAACAATTATTGGAGAAATAACTTCTTTCTTTCTTTGGCCATTGGGTAGAAGTAGTAAAAATTTTGTCAGCTCAAATGGATGGCTTTCCTTAATCGTTTTAGTTGCTTCAAGCCGAACAGCCTTAAAAAGTACTACCAATTTACTTGACAAAAAAACTAATGAAAATTTGATACTGCAGACTGCTTTATACTTGAGCAGAAAATTTGTTAAATTACTTTCATCTGCGTCAAAGTGTTTGGGACTTGGTATATCGGAGCAAAAAACAAATTTCAATAAAGCCGATGTCTTTAATCCCAGTTTTGTGCTGAAAAAGTATCAATAGCACAGGTTTAAATGAATATTTTTGACGCCCTGCATCGAAATCTCCTTTATTCATCATCTGCAGAACCTTATTCGCGGAGAGTCGTATTTTACCAGGGTTGGACGCACTTTGGACAAAAAAGACGCTTTTTATTGCGCAGGGTTTAAAATTATCTCGGAGGTCCCGCAACATCTGATAACTGTCATACCACAACCGAGCCAACAAGTGTATCGGACACTAAAATTGGCATGAAGTTTTTAAAACTTATGCCCGCTCATTTTTCCACGCTCTGTAACAAAGGCTAAGAAACCTTTAATCCATATTTAAAAAAATAGCAAAAACCTCTGCTGTTGAGACATTTCCGACCAACTAGCTTTCAAGTCCTCATAGATATATTTACTGTTTCGGCATGGTATAATTGCTGTTTGGTCGTACCTTTGTGTACCTGGGACACCCATCCAGCACAACTGTTCTCTCCTGATGACTTCTCGTCTCCCCTGAATTCACCTCGTCTCTCCTACTCGTGCACCGGGGTGACTTGCACTGTGGGAACTTGTTGTACAGTTCCCTCTCCCCTCCTGAAGTGAGTGCCCAGCACGGTTCCTTGCCCCCGTCCGCGAAGCCACTGCTGGGGTCGAACTGGCCCATTGAAGACATGTTGTGTTTGAGCAGAATAGCCAAACTGGTGCTGCCACATTTCCCACCGCCTAGACACACACACGCACAATTGAGCTACTCTTCGAGTTTCGTGCACGTAGTTCAATTGGCATAAAATTTGGTATGTTGGTTACTTATACACAATTTCCACAGTTTTTCTTTTTATACAGCTTTTTAAATCTGATTGTAAAACCGTAAAATTTATATTTACTAACCATACTGGGCGAGATTGAAAACGCAACAGCAAAATTTTAATGTGGCAAAAAAAAACTTTTCAAGTTTAGCTTTTTAAAATTTGAAAAATCTATATGCTTTCTCTGGTAGATAGCAACAGATATCGACAAATTACCTAGAATTTAAGTTTTGTAAAAAACGAATTGGGCAAAAATAAAGAAGAAAAACACCTACGTTTTACCTGATTCAATTCATGGAACTAAAATTAGTACCTTGTTTCGTTCACAGTTCTGGAAAAACATCGCCCATGGAAGGCCGATAAACAAAATAAAATTGAAAGACAAGCCATGAACAGAACGTCTGTGAAGTTGACAACATGTACATACTAGATTCTAACGCAGATACGAGGATAAAATTTGGTTATAAGTTTTTCTAGCCACCTTCATTCCAAAACTATAAATGAATACAAATATGTTTACTCAGAGTGAACATGTTGCCAAAACATGTGAAGTCAGTATTAGGTTCAATAAAACAGATTAAAATTATTTAATTTAACGTATCTGATTGGCTAGTCTAAGCCTAGATGAAAATTACATGAAGGCAAACTCAGAAAAAAAATGAAGAAGATACTTTTTTAAATGAGTTGGAAAATTCAGCACGCTTAAGTACAAAAAATTTCGTTTTAAACATAAGCCTGTGAAAAACTCAATGTTAAGTTCAAAAAACTGTCTTTTAAATATTCTTTGCTGACCTATAACTTTTGTAATTTTTTTGTAATTTATTTGGACTAAAAGTGAATCTTTAGCTGACTTCACTCTCTCTTTTCTCTTTGTCTCTGTCTCTAGTAACATATGTTCATGCTTAGTAAATTTTTGAAATGCCATTATCGATTTAGAATCAGGGATGCTCAAAAAGCATACTTGCATTTTTCTAGCCTAATAGAATATGTATCTGTTGCCAATTCCACAAAATTATGACCATACCTTTTTTGGGTCAAAACTGGGTTCTCCTACTTTGTTTTAAGGATAATTTTGTTTCAAGCTCACATGAAAAGTAAAAAAAAAGAAAAGAGTTAAGTGTAAACTTCTTGCCGAAATGTGATCAAATTTTCTTCAAAAGCGTGAGTCTGAAAGATTTCACTAGTTCTTCAACCGTTTATTTTCACGAAAGATTCATCGAGTTCTTACTGATGCTTTTTCAATGTCGCCCAGTATAATAGGGGAGGGTAGAAGAGCCATATAACCAATATTTCCTGGTGAAAAAAGAATGAAACTACACTAAAGGACAAAAATAAACGCAAATTTGGGTTTTTGCCATCTAAAGGCATAAAAGCGCAGTTTCTTAAAAACTTACAAAAAGTGTACATCAACTGACTGCAAATGATCTGAACTACCCTCTCTGAAAAGAACAATTTTTGATTTGATGCTTTTACCAGTTCATTCTGGGTCTGAAAAAGCCAGTTTTTACCAATTATTGTAATAGGTTTTTCCAACGGTGTGAAATTATTCGAAACTACAGTTGAGGAAAGTTGTCATACCGAACAATGCAATTTTGTCATTTAAAATGTTTCGCTTCGCATGATCAACTTTAATAATCCGTTTAAACGGAAAAACATTCACTTCTATAAGAAACCTATTACAAATGGTACAAACTGGCACGTTCAGACCGTGAAAAATCTGGTAAAACTTGTGACTCAGAGAAGGCAGTTCAGATCATTTGAAGTCGGTCGATATAAACTATTTGATAAAACTCTATCAAAATCTGGTCTAAAAGAATTGGTCTAAAATTACGCATTTTAGAGAGCAAAAACTTGAATTTGATTTTACCTTTATCCACTAGTGTAAAGGTTAAATTCAACGTGGTATTCAAGGTCCAAAGTCAAGGTATATATGCATAAAACGTTCAAATTAAATTTTTACATCGCTATTTGTTTTCGCGCGTTCAAAACGTTTTTAGAAATTTTTTGTTGAACAAATCAGCTGTTCTGAGCTCATATTTAAAAAAAATTGTTGTATCTTTTTTAAATTACGTCTAAAATGACATAACTACCAAATGGCTCACAACTTTAAAACTCTCAAATGGAAAACATGTAGATTCCCGAGTAAATAGCACAGAGAAACCGTGGAAGAACGTTTTTTGCAGGCGAAAAAACAATGAGGCGTGAAAATTGATTAAAAACTCCAAAATATCGACCTCAAATTTATCACACTTATTTTGTTCTTGCGAATTTGTTTTTCATTTGAGAAATATTTCATTTAGAAAGTTGCTTCTTTTAAGTGTCACGTATTTGAAAATGGTGATTTTGCAATATCGAGGGAAGACGGATAAAAACCAATAACTTGATTAAAAACCTGAAAATTTTATTAAAAATTTTGGTTGAGACCTTATTTTTTTCGGGAAAGGCGGGATTTAAGATAACGGTGTTCCTCAATTTAATCAAATAAATGAGAAGAATTTGATTATCATACATCTGTTAAAAATGCAAGCCCGGTGTGTCAGGAAGAAATAGAAGCCTTGAAACATTCAGGGCGATATTAAAAACACAACATCTGAGGTCATCTTTCAAAAACAATATGAACAATAAGGCATTCAAGTACTATTTTTATTTGGCTCAAAAAAGTTTTTCGTTTTGGAAATGGTGATTTCTAGAGCGTTTTCTCTGCAGTAAGTAGTCTCTCGTCTAAAGAGATTGCGAATATATTTGGCAATTACTGCAAGTTCATCAAAAAAATCAAGAAAAACCATGATTTTTTTCTGTTGAGAGAGGTTTTTGTAAACTTGTTAAGTTTCTTTTGCGAGAATGTTTTTGTTCTGCATGATATTGATAAGTGCACGATATTTTTTTAATTCTGCATGTAAAATCAATTTGTCATGGCTACAAATGAAACTAATTACCACCACAGTTCAGGAAAGCCACGTTTCGTTTCGATAACCAGAAAGAAGACCCAATTACTAGTCTGTAACTAGAAATCTATAGCTGCAATTAGACTTTGATAGCTCCTCCACCAGCAGATTTGGGGGGGATGCCCCCTCAGGGATTCTACCCCTGCCAACCCAAAGGGTCCCCATTTTTACTATTTTGAGCTCTAAATTTTAGACTGACAGACCCTAATGTTTAAAAAAAGCACCTTTGGCACCATATATATACTAATTTTGATTTTTTGCGCGATTTTTTGGTCAACATTTTCCAAAAAGTGCCTAAACCGCCTTTTTTGGGCCTGATTTTTCAAAATTTCGCCTGCAGTGAAAATTTGGTCAAAATAGGGTCTTTATAATGATTTGTGAGCGCTCGGAAAATCAATTTGGTCGACTTAAAAAAAGGTGGATAAAATTTCACTTTTTTTTTGAAAATCCGCCCATCTCGAGAAAATCCAGGATCCGCCCCTGGATAGCTCTAACTGGACGTTTAAAATATAATTGTAACCCAGATAAAATTCACTAAATATACTTTTTTCAGCCTTTCGCAAAATTTTTACGTTCCTTTTAGCCATAGTACACAATTGTGAAATTACTCAATTAAGAACAGTTGTTCAAAGAAAAAGCAGAATCAGAATGCAAAAATGGATTAAAAAATTAAGAGTTAGCCATCAAAATAACTTGCAGTTATCAAATGGAGAAGAGGATGGTGTGGCAGTTTCTGAAAACCCAGCCCTAGAGTATTTCCTTGACACAGGGCCTGATAGAACCAGATAATATGGCTTCAAAAATTATATTATCAAGCCAATACTCTCATGACAACAGTCTTTCTAATTGATTTTGATTCGCCAAACTCATTGGCAGAACGCCCGACAAGTACAAGAAAGTACTGCTCCAAGACCAGGACAACGTTACGGTCCAAGACTTATGCTCCAAAATTCACAGAATAATTCAAAATGACTGAACCGATAATGACCAGAAGATAAATTGCACAAGCAGAGTAATTCAAAATTTCGCCAGCAATTGCAGTTTAAAAAACGAAACAAACTTTTTTGTAAATGCATCATCTGATTGTTACACGGAAAGCAATCGAAACTTGGATTCACAGTCAAGAGAATTGCGAACTTTGCAAACAAAAAGAACTATTGAGCTTCGATGCTGAAGCGCATTTTTTTATACTAGAGTTAGCCATCAAAATTAGAGTTAAAGTTGCTGGCGATGCTGAAGCGCATTTTTTCTTTCCCTCAAAATTACATAGGAATCAGGAAAGAAAAACAATTCCACACATAAACTCTTCGCAGTTTGGGTTCACCAAAAATCGCTCACCAGTTTTACAAATGCTCTGCTATCTAGACAATGTCTATCGCAATATCTCCAACACTGACGTAACAATCGAAGCCGTTTATTTGGACTTTGCGAAAGCATTTGACAAAATAAATCACACTGTGCTTCTGAGAAAACTGAAGATTCTGGGTATCCAAGGAAAGTTACTCAAAGTTCTGCGCAGTTATCTTGATCAACGTAAACAGTTTGTCCAAATTGGAGATGCAAGGTCCGAACTTCTTGATGTAACCAGCGGGGTTCCCCAAGGTTCACTTCTTGGACCATTACTATTCATCATCTATGTAGCTGACTTGCCTCTCAATCTAGTTTCTGAGACATTCATGTTTGCTGATGACACAAAGATATTGTCAATACATCAGAAGATCCTAAATTCCAGGTTGCAGGAGAATCTGTCCTCTCTAGAAGAGTGGTGTAGATCAAACTACATGAGCTTCAATGTCGGCAAATGTTCAATTGTTACCTTTTCTAGAACAGAGCCAACCGATCTGGCTCTTTATGGCAAACCGTTAGCTCATTCAAGTTTGGAAAAAGATCTTGGCCTCTTGGTAAGCGACAAGCTGAAGTGGAAAGACCACATAACTGGTGCCTGCAGCAAGTCAAATAGAGTATTAAACTTAATCAAAAGAAATGTTGGCCACCGAGTGAGCACAAAGCATAGAAAGGACCTTTACAAATCAATGGTGATACCAATTCTACTGTACGGATCCACTGCTTGGAGTCCATCGAAAGGTGATCTGCGCCTGATTGAACGCGTCCAAAGACGCGCCACCTACTGGATGCTTAAATATTGTGATGACAATTACTGCGACAGATTGAAAAAACTCAACCTTCTTCCACTATCTCTAAATATTCAAGTGTATGATATTCTTGCTTTCCTCAAACTTATCGGTGCTAACTCCACATTTCCTGGTATGATTACACAAGAAGAAGTGAAAACATAGAGCACCGCACACGAGCTCATACTCACAGCCTATTTGAACTTCCTGTCATCACAAAAGAAATTCAACGACAGAATTTCTGGTATCGTGCCCCACGCCTCTATAATCTTCTCCACCGACATATCAACCTCGATGGGAGCAACGTCAAACCGCGTGTTATCAAGTTTTTCTGGGACTACTATCACCGCCACTATAACGAACTAGACTCGTGCTCCTGGACTTTTGGCTGCCTGTGTAGCAACTGCCGTTTCCCGCATTCCATAGACTTTTCTTAATATGTTTACGGGCTCACGCCCTTCAACTTTTGTTGTAAAGCTTCAATAATAATAATAATAATATATTTGAGTCAATAGAAGCCCATTTTTTAAAAATAAGTGTGCTAAGTTTTAACAAGCAAAAACCGTCCAAAATATCACTGCGTCCACGACTGAAGAGGAAAATAAAACTTCTGGATTTTTGTATTAATTTTCATCTTACTTTCATTATTATTTTATGAATCTTTTGTACTGGTTCTTCAACAATCTCGTTTGACAGCAGTTATCAAAATACACTGAAGCACTCATGTCGTTCTTGATTCCTCAAAAGTATGCATGCGTGATGAAAAAAACAAAACTTTCTTTTTTCAAACAAAATCTGATTTGCATAAAAGAAAACTGCGGTATTAAAGAAAAACGGCGCGCATTGATTGCCATTTGGATCGTACTACCGGACTAAGATAAGTGATGACAAGCGGCAACTGGTACTCCAAACCTAAAAATGGAGACCCAGCTATTGAAGCATATATACTTAACTGACGGTACTAAAAACGCTACCAAATTTAAGTAATGGCCCCTGCAAAACTTGATGCGCTAATATCAAACCGGAAAAACCAATTCCTGTGCAACAACAAAAAATAGGCTAATTTTTTGATGTGGCTTCTTTTTGTCTAAAATTACCGTTGAAAGACAAACCAGTTTATTTAGGCTCTGAAAACGCCAATTTTTACCATCAGCAATTATTTTGCCATCGGATCGGAGTGAACTCTTCCTCTAATAAAAACGGAGTAAAAGCAGTAGTTCCTGCTACGAGAAACATTTTCAGCGACAAACAAAAAAGAATTGAGTGCAAATAAACCAGCCGAAGTATAAACTAACCAAAAACGCGCAGAGTATATGAACAAACCGAAAAGTTACGTCATTTGAATGAAATATGCATAATTTTCATTACTGTTACATAATTGTTACATAAATATTATACAAGACTGCTCGTATCAGGGCAAAGCCCTGAATGTTCCGACTGCTTTTATGGTCTATGAAGCAGTAATAACTTGAAAAAACTTTGTGTAAAAAAATAAATTGTAATTTTTTTTTTAATTTGAGATTTTTTGTGAAAATTATCCCCCCACACGCCATATAAAGTACAAAGTGATAAATTTCGCTTCTAGTAACGAATCAATTATGGCAAATAACTTCCTTCAGCCAATTTGGAACAATTTCTAAGACGGATTAAATCTCCGCTTACGCTTTAATAGCGCGAAATATATCGCGCGTTAATTGTCCCAAATTGGCCGAATTGCCAATCTTTAAACCCCCATAACTTTACAAAAAATGATCACAGGTAAAATAACTTTTCAAATTTAAGCTCAGGGCAACAATACGTTTTGAATGATATTAAAAAAATCCGTCAAAAATGTTTAGTTAAAAAGTCGAAATTTGTCTGAAGAAAAAAAAACCCACCCCGAGCACAAATATTCCGTTACTTTCGTATCGAAAGTCGGAACAATAACAGTTACGTATTTTTGGCTGGTTTTTATGGTAGCTGGTTTATACTTTGGCTGGTTTATATACCACTAAAGAATTTTTATATATGAAATTTACCAAACACGTACAATTTCACAATTCGGATGTTAAAATTTTTATTACTCGCAAAACAAACTGGTAAGTGAATAAAAATCAAAGTTCGCTATTTTCATAGAGGTTCGCACCGACCATTTGCCTAGGATTCATGTAAAAATTTTGAGCAAATTCCAATTAATTGTTCTTCATTTAAAAACAAAAAACAAGCATTTCAGAATAAACACCCGAAAAGGCATTTAATTTTTCCACGAAAATATCTGCAAATATTTTCCTAAGGGCGTGAATTATTTCTCAAATAAGTGATGCAAAAACTTTTTATGCAACATGAAAAATCCTCAGCCAGAAAGTTGATTTTTGAGTGAGAAAACTCTTAATATCGAGTTTTTGTTTTACAATTTCACGCAATAGAGAAAACTTGGAGCAGATGATGAAAACGGGCAGTTTGAAGCCAAATTTTGATACTTTTAGATGTTGGTTCAGTCAGATTATTTCTCCTGGTCGATGTAACAATTTTCTTTGAAACAGAGCAATTTTTGTATAGTTAAAAAACTTTTACACATTCCCAGTCTTAATTTAGCTTGAATATTAAACATTTTAAACCATTTTTTTCGATACTGGGAGAGCTTTTTGAAACTTTTTGGTATTTCACGCGCTTCCTTAAGAATTAACCCATAAATTTGTGGAAAATTTTTGACCTAGGTCGCAGTTACTTCAGAACAAAAAAATGGTCAGAAAAAGTAAACTGTTGACTGACCTAAAAAATAGACTGTTCTGCAGCAGCTGTTGGTCCAGGCGACCTCGCTTTGTTTGCAGCTCACTTCCTCCCTTTCTGTCATTCCCCTCCCCCACCCACTGTTACTGTTAGGATTGTGTCCTAGCGGGTAGAACACAGGTGGGGCTAGGGGCAGACTGGTTGCATCCGAGGGGGAGGCACTGCGAGTATGCCCTCGTCTGTTGGTATTCGTGCGGCTACTACACTCAGCAGCCAGTGAACCTGAAATTGTAATTAATTTACACAGATTCGAAGCTGGACTTCTCAAGCACATGCGAGAAAACGGCAAAAGATAGTCCTGAAAGGGTTCATAAAAGAAAAGGAAAGAAAAAGTAAAGCTCCTCTTTTCCTACCCCAAACCCCTCCCCCAATTCGCATCAGCATCAGTTTCATGTTGTAGCGATTGTTTTCACAAGGTTAATTATGACGAGTAAATATGTTTGGCATGGCTTAATTAGTACGCATGTCAATTTTCATAACCATCGGATGATGCGAACAATAATTCAACTTGTAAAAATTCGCAGGTGGGGGAAGGAAAGAGAGCCGAAGGTAAAACTAATAAAAACTCTGATAACGAACCACCGATCTCAAGATTAAGAAACTCACGTCCGAGCATCTGAGCCATCTTGAAAAATATCTAACACAAGCAACCAATTAACCAGATGCAAATATATAATGATAATGCGAATGCAACAAAAGTGAGCCAGAAATAATGATTGGGTTTTCAAAAAATGAATTCATAATATGGCACTGCTCTTCTTACTACCTATGTAATAAAGAATTTATTGGACAAAAAAGAAGTTTTTGCAAAAAAAATTGTTTCGAATTTCGGGTCCCAGATGGGTAAATAAAGTTTTGATTGAATACAACAATCATTTGATTTAGCTACGATATTTGGTTTACCACATTGGAGGGCAAAACTACAATAATAATTGCATTCCAAAAAATTGAAAGATTTTGCTTCTGTTTCTGTTTTAAGTTCTCTAGTTGCGTTACTCTTTTTTCGTTATAGTTAAGCGAAATTGTCGCAAATTTAATTTTTAACGCAATTGTCGCAAATATGGATTTTACCCGAATTATCACAAAAAACCAGTGAAGAAAATTTAAAACAAACTTTAGATTTTTACCTTTTCTATGTGTAATTTTCAAGAAGTATTTTGGTAAGACTTTAGCTCGCATTTGAACAAACATTTTAATCAGCCCAAAGATATTATTTAACTTACCATTAAAAAATATCAAACTTTGATTGAAAGAATTGCCAGTTTAATTGGAGTCTGAAAAAATCAATTTTAACCACCTGCAGTAAAGTTCCCAACTGCCATGATATTGCAGGAAAAAAACGAAATCGGGAACATTTTCTTATGAAAAACTCAATTTTCTCGAAGAGCTGATTTCACATTGAATAAAAAACTTTTCTACTTTCATGTACTCGAGATATAGCTCAAGTGCTTTCGAAAAATTTACAGCAGACATGGAAAACTGGCGTTTTTGATACTTGGACCAAAATGGTAAGTCCGGGAATCAAGTGTTGAGATTTTCATAGAGAGTAGATTCGATCATTCGCTCTTAATCGGCGAAAAAGTGCTCAAAAACCTAAAAACTTATATGAGTTCAATTGTGCCTTCGTGTCTTTTAGCAAAATATGGACTCTCAGCCAAACTTTTTCAATTTTGATCAGAATTTCGGAATCTGGGTGATTCAAAAAATATGACCGAGTTTTTGTCCCCTAAAGTAAAATGAGTAATGATCGATAGACCACAAAGCATGAATCTGTTTCCAATATAACAATTGTGCCTCGGTATCAAAGCGCTTGTTCGAAAATTCAGTCAACCAAAGTGGTTCGTTCTGAGATTATAGTTCAAACTTGATTGTTTCAGCACATAAGTGACCAACTTTTAGAAATGGAGTATTTGAAAATTTTTTCAAACTTTGTCACTTGCAGTGGTGAGCATTTTTTTCTCCAAATTCTACATCCATAGCAAACTCGTAAAATTAATAGCTATTCAGATCCATTTCAAATAAACTTTCTGCAATTGTTATAATAAAATAGCATAAAGCAGACAACTTTTGCAGTTATAAGCATCTATCAGGATATCGAAAAAAAAACTTGAAAAACTACCTAATTAATCATATAAAAGCCCCAAATCCTTTTTCTCGTAGCTACAATTACATCAATCAAGGTCGTTGACAAGTATATGCAAAAAATAAACTTTGACATACCTTTTGAGCAAATCAAAATGAACCTTACTTGATTTTGCAGTATTTGGACTGTAAGCGTTGTTCATTTCGGGGAACTCTTCCAGAAATCGTCTCAGCATTTCATCGTTGAGGGCTTTTAATCGCTGATAGTCAAAAGCCTTCACTGAAGCACCTGTTTTGACTGCCGAACCGGGATCCCGAATGCCGAAGTTGGGCCGCGGATGTCGTTTTTTGCCCACACTAGGGTGACCGTTAATTTGTGAAAATGCAAAAACCAAGGTGTAAATGGCAACTGCTAGAAGAACAATGAATTTGATTATGCGTCGCTTTGTTATCATCTTGATCCCCTCGTAATTGAAAGCTGGACTGGTCCTAAAATTCAAAATGGTTTCTTTTTTTTTCGATTTTTGGAGTATCATCTTAAAACAGAGGGAGAAAAACTAGACCAAAAACAGATTTAAATCAAAATATAGAAAAAATGGCATAAAAAAGGAACGTATTCAATAGAAATAAGTTCAAATTGATACGAACTATCAAAAGAAAACCGGAACACTTGATTTTACAAAACAAACAAATTGTCATTTTTACTTTGATTAAAAACAAATACTTTGATAGCTGAATAAGGTCGAATATTGCCATTTTGCAACAGAAGCAAGAGAAAAATTAATTTTAGCGCTGTAGAAGCAACCTGGTGTTTTTTGGCACTTGTTGGATATAAAAGTACTTGGAGTACATCAGATAAAAGAGTCACTGAAGTTGGTGTGAAGATCAATTTGAACTAAATTACAATTTCGTCCAACAAATCAAATTAATTAAGGAAAAGAAAATCTTATCGAGATTTCCTCTCCTCTCTCTCATAACTTCAACAGTAGATTAATGCACTTAAACAAGATAATGCTTCCTGAAGAAATACCTGCTGGAATTACAACTTTATTGTCAATGCAATTTTCCCCCCAAACTGTTTCAAGGTAGATCGCTCATTTGATGATCCCCTTTCGCGACAATCTCGAAAAGATTAAAAACTCTTATTTGTAGCAAACACTTCAAAAGTTTTGTTTTACTAAATATTGGGTACTTAACACATATAACAATATGTCCCCCGAGTATTTGGATACTTTTTGGCTTTGTAGTTTTGAAGTTTTGTGTAACATCGCTAGCAAGATAGGGAATAGAACATCTGGTCTACAAGCTATATATGTTCTATTCCCATCTAAATACATGAGAGAAATACTTGATTTGGGAAAATTAAATTCTTTTTTTCTCTAAACTCTTAACTTTTGTAAAAAAAAAAACATAAATTTGACGAAAAAGTTTAAATGCTGAAGTTATAACCACACGTAACGTCGAGTGGAAAGTAATATATTTTCATCTCGTAACAAGTTCGGAATAATTGTTGCCTCAATTCAACTGAAATGATTTAATTGACCGCACACGCTACACGTTAATACAAAACTTGCGCGCATTAATTATCGTTTAGTGGCAATTTTCAAAACCTTAAACTATACGAAAAATGGTCACAGGTAAACTTTTTCTTTGAAATTTTGAACTCAAAATTTAACAAGACTGCTCGTATCAGGGCGAAGCCCTGAATGTTCCGACTGCCTTTTAAGGTTTATGGAGCAATAATAACATGAAAAAGTTAATGTAATAAAATAAAATGAAAAAAAAAATTCTAAAATTTGAAATTTTTTAGGAAATCATCCCCCCACACGCCATATAGAGTACAAAAGAATAGATTTCGCTCATTGTAACAAATCAACTATGGCAAACAAGCTTCTTTCAACCAATTTGGAACGACTTCTAAGACGGATTAAATCTCCGCTTACGCGTTCATAGCGCGAAATATATCGCGCTTTAATTGTCCCAAATTGGTCAAAATGGCCAAAATGGCAATCTTTAAACCTTCATAACTTTACGAAAAATGATCACAGGTGAATTATCTTTTCAAATTTGAGCTCAGGACAACAATAGCTTTCGAATGATATATTCCGTCAAAAATGGCTAGTTAAAATGTCGAAATTTGTCTGAAGAAAAAAAAACCCACCCCGAGCACAAATATTCCGTTACTTTTGTATCGAAAGTCGGAACAATAACTTTCAGAAGTATATTATTAAACTTCGTCGAAACGGTTAACTAAAAATTCGAAATTGTTATTCAGAAACATCACAAATATCAATTGTTTACTTCTTTTGAAAATCGAAATAATAAAGCTAAATGAGGTTGTTTCGAGCTTCTTTTTCAAGGCAACGAGGGATTACATTGGGTACAGATTTAAAGAAACGTCAAAAAACAGATTTTTCGTCGATCAAGATTAGTTATGCCATGAGCCTGATTGTAAGCATCCCCGAAAAAAACTATGAAAACCCAATGATCTTCAATATAAATGATTTATTATTAAATTCCATAAGAAACAAGAGTAGCCGGCTGCTGTGCAAGAAGCAGTGAAAAATCCCACCACACAATCATGAAAAGCTTAAAAAACAATATCCTGTTTTATTTTCAAGTTGTGTCGTTTTCTGTTCCTGATGACAAGAGAGGATTTATGCGAAAGCCTGGAAATACGGCTGGTGCAATAATTATTATAAATTAGTCAGATTGGACACCAGCTGTCTTCAAAAAAAAAAACGGAAAAACTATTAAAAATGATTTGAAAAAAATTTCAAACTTCTAATTTTTAAGAAGGCGCTAGAAAAACCTTAGAAAACTCTGCAGTAAAACTAAACTTGCCCGGCTTAAGCAAAATTTGCACTCTTATATTATAATAAGCTTGCTCGACTGTGGTTTTGCTCGAAATTGGACTGAAAAACATAAAATTCAAACCAATTTTCCTTGACACTAAAAAAGCTTCAATCTGATATAACACTTGAGCCACTTCGATGATTATTTGTGGGACCTGCTTGTGTAAAACAACAAAAAACTAACATACAACAAAAATACAAACTGCCTCTCCAATTTCGGTGGTCGAAACAACAACTTACATGCATCCAAAAACAAAGATCCTAATTCAAATTTTCGGCAAAAGAAAAATTTAGACAAAACTTGCTTGCTGCGCAGCAAAATAGAAAAAATTCCGGCTAGGGACAAAAAATTCCAAGCCAAGAAAAACTAAGAAATTGAAAAATGGAAGTAAAAAACTGACAAACTACAAGATCTTTTTTCACCGGAAATTTCACCAAAACGCTTCTGCAGTTATCTTTTTGTATTCCAAGAATAGGTTCTGCAGTCACTTATTACAACCAATAAAATCATATTTTAATTCAGTGCCCCTCCCTATTTGAAGCAAAACCGCATTAGGTTGAGTTTATATTTTTAAAATAGATTTGATTTGCATTTTTAACACAAAATTTCTGTCAAAATTACAAAAACCTGATAGTTTATTATATATAGTTTTGTGATACTTTTGTGAACAAATGCACATTGCTGGATCTAATAGGCGGAAAACCTGAAAATTATTACTTATATATAACGACCATTCTGCATTTACATTTGGTGACCGATCTGCATCGGATTTTTGAACTTGAAATTTTTGTTTACTATCATGAAGCTGACTTCAAAAGCTAGGTTTGAAAAAAGTTTCCCGATATATTTTTTACAGCTGCTATTTCTTCATACTCAGACCTTGTATCGAAAAACTCAATCCTGTGGTTATACAAAGTGTATCAAAAACCTCAAAAAAATTGCCAAAATGTTCAATTTGAAATTTTACCTTCAGACGGCATAGCAAATTGCTTTAAAAATTATAATTCAATTCCATTTGTCAGTAAATTAAGTTTTTAATACCCAAAGAAAAAACAAGATTTTATACAAAAAAAATATGAAAAAAAGTTATAGTTTTTGATTATTGGATCGAAATATGGAATGCCTACAGCCGACAATATTTGCATACTACAAATACTTGCAACAGTTGGTATTCATCGTGGTCACAATAAATGTGAGTCCAGTGCAAATTTCCCTGCGGGTTGTCATCTAAGTAAATTCAAAATTTCACGAAAAGTGCACAAGTCGTGTTGCGAAAACATCAGAAAAGAACTCAAACCAGAGGTTGTCAAATGTTATAAGCTTGGAAAACTATTAAAAATCAAAAATACCAACAGAAGAGGCTTACAGAAGGAAAATAGCTTTTTATTATCTAAATCGACAAAAAAGTGATACTGATGTTGAACAGAAATAACAACCTGCCCCCCCCCCCCCCCCCCCCCCAACCTGTAATGGTTTGAGCCAAACACTGATCGCCACCAGGGGTTCTGGAAAAACAATTGGGATATAAAAAGTCAATTACTGCAAATTTATGCCAATTAATTAAATCGGTCATCCACGTTTGTCAATTATCAATTAATTGCAATTAATTTCTTATGGTTCATGGCTTTAGCAACGTGTTTTCGACCGAAAGCAAAACTGATCGATCGCGTTCAGAAATAGTTTCAACTCGAGCAGGGCCAGATCTAGGATTTTCGAAAATTCTATCAATTTTTTTCTTAGGTTGACTAAATTGATTTTACGAGCTCTCTGAAAGCTCTAAAAAGACCCTGTTTTGGTCAAATTTTCTGCGCCACAGACAAAATTTAAAAAAAAAGGCCGAAAAAGGCGTTTTTAGACACCATTTTGGAAAATGTTGACCCAAAAAATCGCGTTTTTAGGGCCCTTCAACTAAAAAGCAATTTAGGGCCCTTCAACTAAAAAGCTATTTAGGGCCCTTCAACTAAAAAGCAATTTAGGACCCTTCAACTAAAAATGCATATTTCAAAAATGTACAAAGGGAGACCCTTTGTGTCGGCAGGGGGTCGAATTTATGAGGAGGGGCGTCCCCCTAAATCCGCTACTGATATCGAGATTCTTCGGCAGAAGGCTATATTTTAAGTCTAAAACCGGCTTTGTTGAAAAATGTTTGGGCCTTATCAAATGTTTGTCTCACATATCGTACATCATCATAAAGGCTGTCAGTTTATCTCAAATTTAAAAAAAATACCAAAATATTTCAAACTAAAATTTGTTTGTCATTAGTCAGTTATTGGAAAAAAGTGGGAGTAATTTAGTTGCCTCCAATTAATTGGTCACCAAGTGACATTTTTCAAGCCCTGATTGCCACGTAAAAAGTGACCAACCCACCCCGACCTTCAATGGTTTAACCCGACCGAACGCTGATCGCCGCGTAAATAGTGAAAATGCCCACCCAGACCTGTACCGGCTCGAACAAAAACTGACTGCCGCATTGAGAGCAGGGCATTTTCTATCTGCTTTTTGTAATATTGCCGCATGTTACGTTTAAGATTTGGTCCAATGATAAACGATTATGTTTGCGTTGGTTTGTTTTTGTTCTGATCGTTTGAAAAATGGGGAGGAACTGTGTATTCGGGTGTGTTTTAGTTTTTTCTTTTTTTGTTTTCCGAGCAAAATCAGCTACCACAAATAATCATCGGAGTGACGTTAGTGATATATCATATTAAAGCCCTTTCAGTCGTGATTCGATCGAAGTTATCAAAATTTCCGAAAAAGGATTCCCAGTGTCAAGAAAAACTGGTTTGAAATTTTTGATTTTTCTTATCTCGATTCTGATTGGGTAATGTACTATTTGTCTACTTTATGGCCTGCCTAGCCTTCTTTTTACTATGTTACCTATTAAATGGTAGTAACGTGAAAAACTCAAAGCTATTAGTGTTCGTCCAGCATTTCAAAGAAATAATGTTTAAATGTTTTCTCGCTTTTTTGATATCTGGACCGATTAGAGAGGATAATTGAATTTGAAGCAGTTTTCCAATAACTTCCGATGCAGAGCTTAAGGAGAAAAATTGGCTAAAATAAAGCCACAAAAACTAAAAGTTATAAAGTAAATTGTTAACAGAATAATATTTGATAACGATGCTTTAATTTATTAGCGCAAAAAAATTGCAACACCGGGGAGATTTGTTTTTACTAGGCATAAAATTCACACATGTTTAACCGTTTAAATTATTTCTTCATATGGTAGACTTGTTACTGGGTACGACAGGTGGAAAACAGTTATAAAGAGATAGGTATTGCTTTACCGTTGGGCCCGTTTTACGAACTGAAATTTTGATGTGACAACACTGAAGTCAAAAACAATTTCTGCTAAAAACAATTTGTGCTATATTTTACTCCGAAATTGGAAACCAGCAAAATGCAATAAAAGCTCACCAAAATTTGCGGCAGGGAAAACTCTCCTAAATGCTTAAGACCGACCAAAGTTTGTTGAATGGTCATTATTTAGAAAAGTTTTTTTTTCTGCGATCCGTTTTTAATAACGTGCTACAATGAAAATAAAAACGACACAACGCCAAAAAAACTTACCAACCGGTGTTTAAAAACTCGCTGTGGCGTTCAATTAAATTTGGATTTAAAACTGCACATCCAGTGTGTAAATTATGTGAGGTTAACTTTTAAACCAACAAATGGAACGGAAATAATCTGGAAAGTTAATGGTGCATGAATGTGAACAGGAACAGTGGATTTAAAAGTTGGGACAGGTTTTTATAATTCCCCCTGTCGGTTCCGTTTCAATGATAGTTGATTTGTTTTGAATGGCTATCAGTCCAGCACCACATGAGAAATTTAACCCAATGACTTTTATTATATTTTACCCTGCTTTTTGTTTCAATCGCACGCCTTCATTTTCGCGAAAAGCGACACTCTTCAAACGTATTGAAAAATGGTGTCAAGCGGAACAAACAAAAGGTATATCAAAGCTCTAGGGGTGGGTGAATATCTTTTGAGAAAAGGTCCGAATAGTAGAAAAGGTCCAACTAACCAAAATCCAGGTTTTCCTTCTGTTAAGCGGACAAAACGTTAACTGAGCTAATATGCTTCAAATTTTTTGGTGTGCGGCCAGTGAGTAGACAATCGCATAAGCAGACAGGTCAGTAAGCAGACACATAAAATATAAGATTAGGCTTTGAAAAATAAAGATGTTTAAAAATGTCCAGGTATAAAACCCGGTTTTGGTTTTTATTTTGAAAAAATAGGATAACATATAGAATTTGAAAGTTTGTCTGCTTACTGACCGGTCTGCTTACACGGTTGTCTACTTACTGCTACGTAACCAAATTTCAATTCTTAATTAATTTCAACCAATCAGACAAAATCAAGGGTGTCCGGCAAAAGTTTTGGGTAGAGCAGAGTTTTTAGCAGAAGAGGGACACTGGACATCAAGCGGACGGGACTTCAGGCCGAATTGCAAAAAACTAGGGACTTCAGGTCTAAAAAATACGCACATTTTAAAACATTTGGAAAAACAAAGTTTCTGCCTGAAGTCCTTTCGGCCTGAAGTCGCTCTGAAAACTCCGTCTAAATATTGAACTGTGATTGGCTAAAATAACTTTCTGTCGTTTGGTCTTACTGCCCTTAAAGATCCTCCAGAGGTGAGAATTGAGAGTACCTGTACAAAGGCAGAATTAATCTGCGGAAGGGTATAACATTTTTTAAATTCTTTGGGCTAATTTCGACCCTTATTTCCCGTTCTTCTCTGTTTAACTTTCACCTTTATCCCCCTTTTTTCTTCAGTTCATAAGAATAAGTCCCCTGGGACATGATTAAAAGTAGACAGAAAGACAAAAAGAAGACAGTGGCGAAAATTTGTCTTTGAGAAGACAGAAATAAATGATAAATATACCATGTCAACACTTAGTAGCGCTAAAAAGAGCCAACGGTGGAGATCAAGCAAGCAAAATTGAAGAGCAGTGTTGCACAATGGAACTTCATTGAAAGCTGATTGTCTCAGTGTCTTTTTTCCTGTTATATCCCCCCCCCCTAAATGAATATATTTTGCAGCTCATATTTCGGAAACGGAAAAATGAAATGAACGCTTTTTTTACCCTGTTAATGCAGCTGATGTACATACACAGCATTGAATTAACTCGGAAAAATGCAAAATTGAGAATTAAGCAAGAATTCATAAGCAAGATTTCATATTAGTTAAGTTTTTGATAATGAAACGGCAAAAATGAGAAAAGAGTCCTTTTGACGCAAAATTAGAAAAAATTATTTCGTTTTGGCAGGCTCAATATCAATACAGAGAGGCGAAGCTGAGCTTCGCACCACTTGCGATACAATAATTAAAGGATGAAAGCACTATGACGCTCAAAAATTAGCAAACAGAACTTCGAATGATATTACCAATGAAGTAGGAAGTGGAAAACGAAAAAGTATTTTTTGTACCTTTCGTGTTTAAATTAAAAAAAAATTTCAAAGGTTCTACTGGGGTTAACTTTGGGCATTCAAAAACTGGTGCCAGAGTCTCATCAAAGTCAGAAACAATACCGGACGTTTTAACAAAAATTGCTAAATAAGCCGACAGAATTGAATCCGACAGCCAAAAAGCTGAAACTTGCATGGGTCCACGATAGCTACATAAGTAGAGTATGCAAAATGGAGAACAGAACGTGGAAACTAAACCGACAGAGCTTAAGCCGACAATCATGGCAAAAAATTGGCAGCAGAAAAAAATATCGAAGTGCTTCGAATTATGCAAAAAATGGTTTGAGTTCTTGATATAGCATTAACCAGTAGTAGTAGCTGGTACCCAGTAGTGAACTTTGATTTTTCGTAAAACTGAACATGTCAGCTGCATAGCAGCAGCATCATAATAAATTCAACGGATTTTTAAAAATATTTGTTAACCCGAAAAAAAGCTATATTCCGACTTGATAATTCTTGCTAATCGCAAGCGTGAAAATCAAACGCAAAAACAATAAATTGAAAAAGACTTCAAAGAGTTGTTTTTGTCATTAAAAAGTGCAACAAAACCCAAAACATCCAAAAAACTATTTGTATATCCGTACCATTAAAAACTACACAAGGAGTTTTTCTGAAAGATAGACAGAAGCCGAATATTCAACAAGTTCGTTTCAGCGGAATTAAGCCGACAAGAATAAGCAGACAAGCAATAATCTAAATTAGCCAACAATTTTCAGTTTGCAAAAAGAAACAGGTCTCAAGCATGGGTTGTAGAGTAATTTGGAAGAAAGCTGAACCTCCAAAAATTGTCAGACTACAGGAACTAAGCCGGCAAAAGTAAACAGACGGTTGACAGTCAGAAAAAGCACAAAAAATCTAATTAACAGAAAACAGGTCGGGTTTCTTAACTAAAAACACAAACTTATTGTAGTTATGGTAATTAATGAAAACCAGGTCAAACTACAAAATTTTGCAGTCTGAAGCAGTTGTGTTGCGTTCTACGCAGGATGCGCCGGATGGTTGACTTAATTTGAGTTTATAACTACCAAGCGGTAACAAAGCCAAAAATACCTAATTAGAAACCCTTCAAAACGAAAAAAACTCTACCTAATATAAAAATTTTTGATTCACACGCACAGAAAATGTTCATTCAATCCTCCAACGACGCAAATGAAGGTCACTAATTTGATATAAAAATTGAAACCGAAATAAAAAACAAAGTTAAAAAAAGACGAAATTTTAACAAATCGATTTGGTAAATTTACAACCCTTGTAAAAACCAAATTTAAATTCGACCGAATTTTTAAAATGCTTAAACACCAAAAACAATATCAATGAAAATTGTTTACAACAAAAATAAACGAGTCTTAGATGTGGCAACTATCTTAGATGTGGCTTGTTTTTGACCGACAAACATAAGCAGACAAATTTTAGGCCAACAATTTTATTTGAAACAAAACATTTCTGTTTGAAAAAAAAACAGGCATTGATCAGATTCGAACCCAGGACCTTTGACGTCCCACGATTATTCGTTACCTCCAGGACTTGAGTCCATTCTGATTTTATCGTGTATTTATTTATAATATCGATCTTTTTTTCAAGCAAACTTGTTCAGTTTTGTTTTTCCTCATTTAAACTGCGAGCGGAGGAGACGGAGTGTCAAGAGTCAAGAGAAGATAGTCTGTCATCAAAAAGTTACAAAATATCGCAAAGCGTCTCCTTTTTTTTGGAATAAAATGCAAACGCTGTTCGTAGTACTGCAATTTTGTCTATGTCCCGGGGAATAATTTCCTCCAAAAAAACAAAGTTACTTATTCGACTATTCCTTGCGGAGTTTTGATTGAACAGTTTTGACGATCCAACTCTGTCAATATTTCTGGGCTGACGATGAAACGATGAAACGATGAAGAGAATTTTGACATCAGTTTCAATTATTAAAGTTTCCTCTAATAGGTGATCGAGCGTTTCGTGTGGATCAAACCCCCCTCGTAGTTTCCACATCACCCAATCAGCTTACGAACAAGTATTTCAGACCCTTATTCTCTTTTTCTAGCGACCAGTTCCTCAGTGCTGAGAGGGCAGACAGTTGAGCATGAAATAATAAAAAAAGATTCGCCTTCTTTCCAACAGAAGAAGTACGGTTTGATCCTTTCTAGCCTAAAGTATCTCTCTCTTCTTTGAATGTTTCTTCCAAGTTCTCGCAAAAAATTTTCTTAAGGTAAGATTTCAGGATTAATTTGATGATATCTTTGCATGAATCTTTTTTTTTCGCTTTTTTGCTTCTGCGCCTAAAAAGCCAAATAAGCGTGATTT